GCGCGTGGCGTGTTACTAGCGTCACGTGACCTCCGCTGTCGTAACAGTAAGAATTTTGACAGTCACATAATTCTTTGAAACATACTATGACTGAAAGATGTTATAAACAAAACTCTATCACCCAACAACGTGATAAAGTTAACAATATACCACGTACATTTGCCTTGAAATAATTACCTATAACAAATTCTTCTTGTGTTCCACTGGTTATTACCTATCACCCTAAACTAAAACAAATCTACTCTGGATACTAAAGAAACACTTTTACATCCTTCAACATCACTAAGATAGACTAAAGTCCATTTTTACAGAAATTCCTGTCGTTTCTTTCAGGAAAAATATAACTTTGCATTCTCATTTAGTACAAGCTAAAGTCAACTTTAAGTCGACACCAGATGGAAGTCACCCTAGCAATAGCTAGCGATGCCAAACCTATAAGTTCATGCAGGAAACGGGCAAATTTTCCGATAAAAACAACCAAAAGCAGTTTAAAATCACTAAACCCATAACCTCTAAAAAAAAAAAACGTTTTTTGCTAAATCCAATGCCGAAAATGCAATTTGCAATATATAGGTCAAACCAAAACAACTATACAGGAAGGTTATTAGTTTTAATAACCGTAAATCAACAATCAAAACAAACAAATAATTTCCAGTCACAAAACACTTTAACATGCCTGGACACTCACTTGATGACATTAAACTGACGAATACAGAGACAAATTTTACATCTAACAGAAACAAGGAAATTAAAGAATCTTATTGGATAGCACTGTTAAATACGTAACGCCAAATGGCATCAATTTCTATACCGGGATTGTTGACCTTCCTATGTCTCTGAAAATATTTTCAAAATTAAATTCATAATTAAACTTACTTTACATTATTTGTATTATTTATGCTTTAATTTCTCTATACTGGTATTATTTGCTATATATTGCTTCACATTATTATTTTCTCTATTCCCACCACTTTTTCCCGTTATTTTATTTTTAATTTTAAATTAATCTTAAAAAAATTGGTTGACATTTCTTGTAACTATTATCACACTTAAGTATTTTATGTACTGTACACATCTCTTTGGCACAAACTAAATCTGACACCAAGAACTCTATGTTATGCTTGGCTACTTTTCAAGGCTAAATCATATTGGACATCTGGTCTACGTGACGTCGACATTACACTATTCGAGAGTGCTCGAGTTTAGGGTCTCGTTTGAAAACCATTAGCCAATATGAATATTGGGTTTCCATGTGAGCGAGCACACATACATGCACGGACTGACCGACATACATTGTTCTTTTAATTACATATCCGTGTCACGAGTTAATACATTTTGGATAGTTTTTATGTACTGTAACGTATCTGGTCGTTTGTTAATTTCCCGTATAATTTCTTTCGGATGAAACTTTAGCGAT